AATCTATAATAATCATATCAATAATCATAAGCATATCAATCTAATCTATCAATTCCAAGCAAATCAGAAAATCTACGAAAATCGGGCAGCGTAATGGCAGTCTATCAAATTTACATAAAAATCCTGCAAAAAGCACAAATTCCAAATTTCTCCAAATTACAGTAGAATATTCACGACATCAATACAAGACTATTATTCTATAGAATCCAAATCAAACCAAGTCCTGATATTTTTCTATTCGATTAAAATAGCGTAGAATCAATTCCGACCGGTAAAATCTTCGTAGAAAATAGTCAAATCGTGTACAATAGTCATATCTATAACATACCAAAAGTTGTGCGGTGAAAGTTGTGTCAAATCAAAATCATATCCAAAATTCGACTACGAAAACACAAAACAATGCACAACTCGGTCAAAACTCAATATCTCTGAAAACAGAAATAGGATTCGGAGTCTTTACCACGAGATCTTCACTTTTTCCAACAGCGGCGTCGGACGAAAAGCGCTCCGCGGCCTCCGAAACCCAGCTTTTCCTCTTTTCCCTTCTCTTTCTCTCTCCTCAAATCAGATATTTTGATTTTAAAATGATTTTCTCTCTCCTCAAAACGAGCTGATTTTCTTATATCATTAGGCTGATCGGCCCGGCCGATCGCAAAATCGTCCCGGGACGATCAGACCAAAATCGATCGTTCCGATCGTCCTGGACGGTTCCCAGAACTATTCTCAGGACGGTATTTTGAACAGTACAGATCGGCCTGGACGATCTCACTATCGTTCCGGACGATCTTGGGAGGAAAATCCAAGTCAGAGAGGAACAGTAAGGGAACGAGGTCTCACAACCAGACTCTCGCATCACAAAGACTCCTCCCGTTCCTCAGTATCCAATGCAGACCAGGGCAAAATCAGGTATTCATAAAGTTAAACAAATTTTTAATCTCTCCACAACTGTCTCTCCCTCGGTCACACCGATGACGTACAAGCAAGCAGCCCAATCCCCACAGTGGATTTCTACCATGACCGAAGAAATACTTGCTCTTAAACAAAAGGGCACGTGGTCGCTTGTCCCTCCCCCAACCAACGATCCAATTCTTGGTTGCAAATGGACTTTCAAAATCAAGACTCTTCCAAACGGATCTATTGATCTTTACAAAGCACGCTTGGTGGCTCAAGGATTCAATCATACACAAGGCGACAACTACAATGAAACCTTCAGCCCTGTCACGAAGATGACAACCATCAGAATGCTTCTCACCCTTGCTCTTCATCGCAACTGGTCCACTCTACAACTCAAAGTATCCAATGCATTCTTGCATGGCGATCTCATAGAAAAAATCTATATGCATCAACCACCAGGCTTCATCGACCCCTAAAAACCAACGCACGTGTGCAAACTTCACAAGTCTCTCTACGGACACAAACAAGCACCGCGCCAATGGTTTCAAAAACTCACGGAATTTCTGCTCCAATTTGATTTCAGGTTCAGTTGTTCCGATCCCTCACTTCTCATTTTCAATAAAAATCAAATACAACTATAGTTCCTCATTTATGTAGATGATATATTACTTACAAGAAACAATTCTCAAACGATACAACAACTCCTCCATCAGCTTCACTCACACTTTGCTCTCAAACAACTTGGTCCAGTGTCTCTATTCCTAGGTATTCAGACAATCAAAACCAACGCTGGATACTTCTTACATCAAACGCACTAAAACCATCTTCAATTAAATAATTATTTAGTGAAAAAAAAAACTAAAATTTTATAATAGATTCATACAACAAAAGAGTTATAAAGGTGATAGGCACATGTCCTTAGAAGTTGTTGATCCCTACACATCAAACCACGCGCAAAAAGGGCAAAAGCAGCGAATCAAACAATGTGTGCGTCGACACTAGGGCTGCAAACAAACCAAACGTTCGACGAGCTACTCGATGCTCGGTTCGATTAAAGCTCGTTTGTGATCGTTTAACTAACTAAACAAATAAACTTGAACAACATTTTAAACAGTCGATCCTTAAATAAACAAGCTTAAACACAAATGTGTTCGATTCATTTATGTTCACGAACAACATCATTTGAAGTTTGTGAACAACCTTGACATTAAGCTCGATAAAAAGCTCAATAAAAGCTCAAATGGAGAGAAATGTAACAGGTAAGCTTCATTTAAGAATATATTCATATAAATTAATCATATTTTCATTTTAAATAGACAACTGTTTTTATTATAAATTTAATTTTCAAAACAAAATACGTTTCACATTTGTCTATGTTTGCTAGATTGTTTGTTTAAGATGCTCATGAACAAATTTAAGGTTTGTTTGTTCAATAGATTATTTGTTAATTATGTTCACGAGCATAGCTCTTTAAGGCTTGTTTGTTTAAAGCTCGATAAGCATTAAACGAACCGAACATGAACTGAACATGAACACCCTTAAATAAAACGAACCAAACATGAACACAAACAATAAAGCTCGAATCAAACACGAACCGAACTTGAACAAGCTAATGATAAACGAACTCAAACATGAACACTCACATACTGGGCTCGACTTGGTTCGTTTGCAGCTCTAGTCGACACGACATGTCACTTGAAGGTCAAACGACCTCCTATTGCTAAATGGACTGTGTGGTTGCAATCAGGATGTAAAATTTGTCTATGGGGGGACCCCTCATAGTCAGATCGGATGAGATAGTTCCAAGATGATAGTTGACACCCGAAATTGACGCGAGATGTTGTCCAAATGACGTCTGATCTCGAAATAGATTTTGTCGTCGTGTTCGGAACGTCGCCGACACCCAAAAATAACTATTAGCTTGTTCAATTGGAATTGCTTGGTGAAATGACATGAGTCACGAGGAACCGATGCTCAAATCGAGAAAATTTACACGTGACATCGCCCAAACGACGTTCGATCGCAAAACATATTTCGTCATTGCATATGAAATGCCATCAATACTAAAAAATCATTTTCAATTTCATCAACTAAAATCGCGCGGTGAAATTGGCATGGATCCCAAGGCAAGGGCATGCAAATTGAAGAAATTGACGCGTAATGTCGCCCAAATGACCTCTAATCGTAAAATGGACTTTGTCGTTGCATTGAGAAGTCCATCATTACCCAAAATTGAATGTGATTTCGTCCAATGAAGTTCCCATAGCATCCACGCCTCCTGTAGTCGCTTGGCCTTTCTTTGCTTCACGGCCTAGTTGAATTTCCTTTCTTTCTCTCTTACCCGACCACATAACAATCCCTGCTTTCATACAGTAGCAGTTGTTGTCATTTTTTCTCACTGCCAAGCAGCCCCCCTCACATGCATTCTTCAGAAACCTGCAGCTCACAGTCCAAGTCTTCATGGCCAGTCATATCCCTTTAACTCCTGCTACTATTTAGTTCACCTAATCAAGCTCATTGATCTCTGTCCCCATTTAATGTACACTTCATAACCCCAAACAACCCACAAACTTAAGCCCATCTGTTATTAGACTAGCCTCAATCCACTCACACTTCCTAAAAGCAAATCAGTTCACTCCAAACTCTTGCAATCCAAATTTCTCCAAAGCTTACACACATCTTTAACTAAACTCCTTAAAAAAACCCGACACAGTAAGTTATTTCATTTTATTTTATGATATTTGATCTTAATGTTATTCTTTTTTTAGAATTAGTAGACATGTTATGTGTGTGTGTGTGTATATATATATATTAAAAAAAAAAAAAAAAAAGAGAAGAAGAAGAAAGAGAGAAAAAGAAACATAAAAAGGGAAAAAGAATATATTTTTTTTTGCAATTTGTATGCATTTTGACTCCGTCGTTGTTGCCTCTCCGCACAGGTATACTTTCTTACTTAAAACCCCATCTTCGATGCTTGCGACTAGCCGGCAGACCACCCTACGTGCTCTCATAGCACGGTGGGAGGAAACTCGATACGATGCTCGTGCCGTGGCGGGTAGGCCTTGAAGCACTATCGTAGCGTGACAAGGATGAAATTAAGAACCCTTAAGCACTCTCACTGCGTGGAGGGGGAATGAAAATTGTGCATTTTCAAAAAGGTATCTCGAAGACCCTTAAGCATTCTCGTAGCATGGTGGAGATTGAAGAAATGCAGTCACGATGTCGTCCTACATCTACTTGAAGCACTTTCGTAGCGTGGAGGGGAAGGCTATGACTCATGAAATTTCCCTTATAAGGGGGAGACGCCAGGAGCTGCCAAAATTTGGATTGAAATGCACAGGACTTAAATAAATAACATGGGACATGAACATAACTTGAACAATAGGAGATTTAAGCAATCTACAAGGAACCATACTCTAAGTTGATGGATGCACAATCAAAACAAAAATAATAACACAATGTTAAATTATAATCCAGCTTATTCAAATGAATGGCAAAATGCAAATAGAAATTTGTGAGCAACATCAGCGAACATGCGAAATGCTGAACATCAATGAACAAAAGAATGGCTGATGGCGGGCAACACTTTAAAAATAATTTATATGAAAGCAAGAGATTAATGCGAAATAAGTCTTTAGTGCACACCAATGATGGGCATAGATACTAATGCGACTTGGAATATTTAGTTAAATCAACAATGTGCATAATTCATTAGCAACTTACATCAACATATGAATGCCAACAAGCAATAGAGGTTTATAGCATCACTCTTTATAAAATCAACTTGCAAGCATAACCTATCTACAATGAATAAGGAGATTATAAAAGATACGATGCAATTGTAAGCCACGACATGAAACTTTTAAATCATGATAATTAACTTGCAATGACAACGAATATACCAATTTCCTACAAGCATAAGATTGGCGTATAAAGGAACACATAAATCATCATATAAATGGTGATAGGGGATATGATGCAAGTATGATGAGCCCCTGTACACATAAGTACTCATGCGGTGTGCTACTTGTAGGCAAGGATGAAAACCTAGAACGTGTAAGGTGCATACAATTCACTATAGGAGATCTACTATGTTGCAAATCTGTTGTTCATGGATTATGATTTTGATGTTAGCAAACACTCTTGTTTCTCTACGACTGTCTTTCCTACTGACATTTCAAGGCCACAAAATCAGACAGTAATCGGAACCAGCTCAAGATTGGGTAGACTAGGTCTGAGTCAGTCTGTATTTTTCTTTTTTCCTTTCTTGAGTCAATTGTAACCATTGAAGTGTTCTGATGCTAAGTAACCCTACACACACACTTGAGTGATTTTTCTATCTGATTTAAAATTTCTATTTTTACTCACATCGTCGCGGGCGATATTTCTATCGTCCTAGACGATCGGGTTTAAAACAGAAATCCTAATCATAACATCTTGTTAAGGTAGCCGTCATTAGCCGATCGGCCTGGATGATACTTGTATCGGCCAGGATGATAACCTCAAAATAGAAATAATCAGCCTCCATGATCTATTTAGGCATTCTTTATTTATGGAAATTGGCCAGGACGATCTTGTATCGGCCCGGATGATATGATACAATCATGCCTAAATTAATCTGGCATTTAAGGCAAGAAATTAAGGATGATTGATACGATCACATCGTCTTGTACGATCGCGAGATCGGCCAGAATGATCAGTCCAAAAAACTTTAGTTGCTCCTGGACGATCGATATCGGACAGCTCAAATTTCGGGCGATAGTCTAGACGATCAGGACCGGCCAGCTCAAATTCCGGGCGATGCTCTGGACGATTTCTCTCTGATTTGAACTAATCATCTGCGATGATCGTGAGATCGTCCAGGACGATCAAGCTATTTTGGAATCGTCCAGAATTCTTTTTAGAGCAATTGTCCGGCCGATAGTCTGTGCTTTGAACTAGTCGTACACTAGATTTATTATCATCATGGATGATATGAACAACTTTCTTCTATTCGTCCTAGATCGTCCCGACTGATTTAGGCTCAAATTGCACTGATCGTACATGATGATATTACTATTATCCTGGACGATAATGTTGCCAACTTGTAATTAATGAGCTATTTTGAAGCTCTTCTATTTAAGGGCTATTATTCAATGTTTTGAACTATTTTTTGCTACTGTCTTGACTTGAGAAAGCCTAGAGGAGAGAGAGAAAGAGGGAGAGAGAGAGGATCTTATGAGGGGGAGCTTGTGAGGGAGATTCACAAGGGTTGCTCCAAGCATTGTTCCACTTCTTCTTCCACTAGAGTCTCTTGTCCTTGGAAGGGTTGGGAGAGGTAAGCTTTAGCGATCGATCAAGGTTCTCTGCCTGCTTCAGGAGGAAACAAAAGAGTTGAGTTCTCTGCCTTGCCGGGGGTGGCAAAAAGGAGGTTTCTGTAAGGACTTCTCTGTCTTGCTGTGGAAGCAAAAGGAGAGTCACTTTGATAGTGCAATACTCGGAGGGCGCCTCCGGGGAGTGGGCGTAGGTCGAGTTAACCGAACTACTATAAACCCTTGTGTTCTTTTTTCTGCTTTCGCATTTAATTTTTCCGCACTTGTTTTCTTTGGTGATTTTGGTTTGAGCTTTATTGTGCTTTGGTTAAAAGATTTTTTAAAATACTAATTCACCCCCCCTCTTTGTTAGCCTTGGGCCAGTTCATAAGGACCTAATATTCCTAATGAACTTTCATACCATATATGCAACATCTAACCTACGATTAGCATGGAAAGTTTGTAATAATCACAAGGAATATGCAATAATTATGGCATTGCCCTCTAATCCATGGAAAACCAGTTTGTGGATAAATGCAGTTGTTCTCTACAAACATTGAAAGGCTACAATGAGCATGTAAGTTGCAGATAGACATCTATGGGGAAATATGCAATGAATGTTGTCCACTCAATACTCAATATCGATCGGAAGATAAACACATCGATCCTTCTTGAACAATGATAATTGATGCTGTGCATATACAAGCAATGAAAACAAGTATGCTGCAGATACTGATGAGCAGTTGCAACAAACATATATAAAGATAAATACATCAAGTTTACATAAGTAGGGGAGGGTGATACATAGTAAATGCAAGTACCCATGGGCCATTGTAGAAGACTCGTTATGTACACTATGTGCTACATATGAGTAAAATATAAAAGAACTTCAGGAAATTCATTAGTGCACAATAATTTACTAGCAGAAAGTAACAAGTAGTTCACAACAGTCTACTTGTATGAAATAGTAAAATGACTATGGTGCGATGCCACATCATCGAATCCACAACATGCATATATGAGAACAAAAGACATGTGCAAATTCTCAAGTGAAGTCTAGTGCATTTCTCAATAACAATCCATCTCCAAGAAGCAGTAAACAGCCGTAACGCTAAACCACACCGCTAGATCTGCAACACTCATACAAGATGACAGAAGTAATGTACAAGCTTCTAAATTGAGCGCCACACACATTCAACTGATAGTTACTCACACAATTGATCAGCATCAAAAATTTTAAAAATTCCCCCATACATACACCCCAATAAGAATAGACACTGAAACAGAAGTGCACGTGTAATCACATACCCACATAGGCCAGAGGGAGTATGTTATATTTACACATTAGTTGCTTGAGGATGCTACGCTGGTAAATAAATGAATTTAAGTTCAAGTCCAATCCTTCTCTTGATAGGACGAGAGTAGTCACGACTTGAACCAATGAATAAATATATGGTCACAACATCGATCTAAATATTTGATTTTATAAGTTCATATTATACCTTCAAGGCCTATAACAAGAAAAATTCATCAATAAAAGCATAAAGTCAGCAACGAATATGATCCTCTATCAGTAATTAGGCAGAGTTGATAAGGTTTCGTAGATAATTATAAAAATGCCCCCTAAATACCTATATGGGCTCCAACGAGTGTGTTATGGATAACTCGTAACATTTGAGGATTCTGTGTGGGTCAAATGATAAACTTAGGTTCAAGCATAATCCTTTTATGTAAGTAGATAGGAGTTGACACAACTCAAACTATCAAACAAATATATAGTTACTGTGTTGACAGAGATATTTAGTTCAATATGTTTATATTAGGCCTTCAATGCCTATAACCAAGAAAATTCACTAATAAAAGCTAAAAGCTAATAAAGAACCTAATCTTTTGTTGGCAAGTTGGTAGAGTTGACAATGTTCAATCAACAAAATGAAAAATGTCCATAAATACCCTAATTATGACCGTGTTGATAGAAAATCTCGACCAGAGTGATCCCTAAACAAGCGAAATGCCACTCAAATACCCACAAAATTCAAAATACCAAGCTTACATTATTTGGAGACTGTAATCCTTACTCAAATGTTTGAACTCTTAGCACATTAATTCCTATTTAACATGAGTGAGAGCTAATTTCCATTTCCACATCATAAATGTGATGCTTTAAGCCTCTTTGGCAGATGAGCTGAAGAACATGTAGAATAGAAAGTTGGCCATTCGGGTTAGAGAGAATCAAGAACTCACTTGAGATTCGGTTTGCATAAGGACTGAAATTCTAATGCATGAGAGAATAATGCATCATAACATAATCAAGTAATGGGATTCATAGTGCTTCAATGCTAGATGCTTGGGACAATATAAAGAGATGGAAGGGTTTTTAGTTATTCACCAAGCCATTACTTATTGAATTATTGGGGTAAACAAGTTGATTTAAGTACGAGCCATCCACGACTCAAGCTAGATCTTAAGCTCAATTTTATGAGTTTCATTGGGCATGACAAAGTAACTTATGACTCACAAGTTAGTTTATTTATTATGAAAAAGAGAATAAGGTTTCAATTCGAACAACTATTGTATTGAAATAATGAAAATGGTGATGAATTAGAGAATAAAAATCATTTGAGATAATGAGTATGATATAATTTTTATAGACTAAATTATTTTATACTTAAACCCTTAAATTCTAATATATTTTATGCATAATTTATATTAATATTTTTTAAGCAAGCTAGCAAAAATGCTGATCAGTTGTAGTGGTTAGCTCAAATTTGACTTATTAGTTCATTGAGTTATGCTCATGAGCTATTTATCAAGTATAGCCCAAACCAGCCTTTGAGGTGAGTTTACTTAGTTACACCCTTAAGCAAAATACATGAGATTTGGTGAAGAAGAAAGGAAGGATTTTTAATGGCGAGTAGATTTTCAAGTAACAAATCCAATTGCAAGCTTTAGCGATTGGATCCTATAAATTATTGCTTCGTGGACACATATTTTTACGGAGCTTGACTCTTTACAATCTTGAATTTTTCGACCAAATTCTTCTATAATTTTTCTTGTTGCTGCTCTTAGATGAAATACTGAGGTTTCATTTGGGACAATTATAGACCATAATTTTTTTCCTGCTTGAAAAGATTTTTGCACTAAAAATTAGCTTTACAAACGGTAAGAAAGTTGTCCCAAAGGAAGCCCGGATCTTGTAAATGACGACCGTAAGAGTTCACATGGTTCAAATACAATGGATTAGCGGACATATATGTGCAATGACAATGCTTCCAACTGACTGAGTTGACCATTTATAACTATGAAGTAATAAAACGTGGATCAGTTAGTAATGCATTATATATTCCTTTGGAATACAAGAAATCCTCGATAAAAAACTGCAGTAGGTAGAGAGAAAAGTGGATAAGACTTCAATTTAGTTGCCTTAAAGAAATTTATGCTCATATACATATTTGAATCTAGGAAGAGATGCGCTCGATAATGGAGAAATTATTCAAATATAAGTTATAAGTGGCTCTGCATATGTTGCATAATCCATATAAAACTCGAGTATATCCATGGGCGGATCCACGTAGGTATGAGGGTGGGCAATTGCCCACCCTAAAACCGGAAAAATGACTAAGAGAGGAGGTCATTTTGGACTTTTGCCCACCCTAAAATTAATATTTTTGCCCTAATCAAACACATTGCCCAACTGGAAGCCCATACCGACGTGATCTCCCTCTCCTTCATCCTCCACAACGGGGTCCCCGGCCTTCCAGGTCTTCAAGAACTGCTTCAGCTAGGTCTTCAGGAACGGCTTCACTAGATTGCCGTTTGTAAGACAGATTTTTTAGTTTGATTTGAAATTTCATTTACTTTTATATATTTTGTAAAATTTCATTAACTAAATGATTTTCTTTTTCTGAATATCAAATTTTTGTTGAAATAATTTTTCCTGAATAGCAAAGTCATGTAACAATGTTTTTTTTTTCTGAATAGCAAATTTCTGTATAAATTGTTTTTTTCTGAATAGCAAAGATCTGTAGAAATGATTTTTTTTTCTGAATAGCAATGTTCTGAAGCAAGAAAGTTAACAAACAAATCTTGTAAAAAAAAAAAAAAAAAATCTCTTTTCCGAGGCGCTCCAAGTCTAAAGGCACCGAAAGGGGGCAACAAAAATGGAGGCCATGTACCGCGTCCTCCCAATCTCCTCCTCTGACACCATACTTCGTATACCCAGAAAACTCCAACTCTCCCTCTATGCCTCCATCCTCTTTCACAAAGACGGCAACTTTTCAGCCAAAAGCGCCGCTCCCATTCTGCATCGCTTCTCCGATGGCGTTCGCAGAAGAGCCACTGCAAAGGTCTCCGCTGGATGGTTCTCTGGATTCACCGTGAAGAAAGATGCCCTTCCGGAAATCGTCAAGGCTGGTGATCCGGTCCTCCACGAGCCCGCCGCTGAGGTCCCCTTGGAGGACATCGGGTCGGATAAGATCCAGAAGATCATAGATGACATGATTGGGGTCATGCGGAAGGCTCCTGGTGTCGGCCTCGCTGCTCCACAAATTGGTATTCCTTTGAGGGTATTATTTTAACTACTGTAATCCTTTTCACTTTGAAGTTATTGGGAACCGGTAGCATTTCATGATTGAGCAGAGATGAAATTCATGTTTGAGTTGATTATTAGTGGGTTGGAGCTAGAGAAATGACTGAGAGAAACCAATGTGTATGGAAAAGTAAGTAGAAATCTCTAATATCTTCGTAAGTCAATCCCACTATGTGAATGTTACATGATTATCAAAACATGCCTCTTCACGTCATATTTAAAGGGTTCAGTGGGTTAGAGGAAAGAACACCTATAATAAATAAAAAATTGTAGATAATTTGACTAGTACAGACTGGCATAGACACATTGTCCAACTGGATGATGTACATGTGGATAGGGGCGAAACTAGGAAGAGCTCAGGGTGGGCAATTGCCCACCTTGCCATATTTTTGTTCATAGAAAAATAAGCATTTAACTATTTTTCCCACCTTAAAAAATAAATTTGCCAAAATTCTAAGAAAAAAATTCATTTTCTATTTCATACATAAGATTTATTCATTTCATGATACTTGCCCAACTTTAAAAGAGTGGTTGGTAACGCCCCTGCATGTGGACCCCTATCTCTAGTGTGGCTCCCTTCTCTTAGATGAGTCCTTGGAGTAAGACTTAGGAACAAGTGTCTTGGGCAATTCTTCAGGATTCTATTGGTAGGGTGAGTCATTAGGAACAAGAGGTGAGTATCTAGAGATGAGAGGCGAGCCCCTCATAGTAAGAGGCAAGTCTCCTGTATAGAAGTGTCTATTCGAGACAAGTCCAATCAAGCAAATCATGCTCGTGAGATGTATGCTTCTTTTAGCTTGATCGAAGATGTTTGCGGTTAGCAAATGCTATGTTCGTGGACATTTGTTGTGTGTGAGTGGGTTTTGTTGGGGGTAGTAATCCTTAGTGTGTGGATTGGTCTGTATGAATTTTTTGGAGCAACGCATCGAGGACGATTGCACCCTTGGTTTGATCTCCAAGTTATCTCTACAGGGAAGAGTTTCCTTTTGCCTATAGGTTAGCGTTGGCTATTGCTCTACGTGGTTATGTTTACTTTAAGTGAATGTCGTTTTGATCACATAATCTACTTGGTCATCCTCTTTGAGAAAAACCTATTATATACCTGCAAGTTACGTACACGGGCATGTAGTATACAAATAGTACTAGAATTGAGTCAGCATAAGATAGGTTGAGTTAACTTGAGATCGGATCGAAATATATATCAATGTAATTGTGAATGCATGTATATAATTTTTTAATCATGTGTTTTTAATCTAATTAACACATTTTTCATTCGTATAAATTTATCCATATAGGAATGGGTCCATTCTGTTAGATGGACAAAAATGTCTAAGAAGATTAAAAAAAAACTAAAATCAAATGGATTTTTGGCACAAACTGAGTTTGAATCAAAATAAATGAACTAAACCTAATTTGAATCAAGATCAAATTTTGCTAGCTTTTGGCTAGACCTAGCTTGGCCTGAGGTTGAATTAAATTATTTGAATTGATCTTGAGGTAGGGTCAAATTGGTTTGATCTTTTGATTGTTCTAAGCCCTAAAATTAGGTGCAAAACTAAAAAGGGTTGTTGGTAAAATAAAATTCTTTTTGTGTTGTTTGGTGTAAAGCCACTGCATTTATTTTACATCAAACCTTCTTTCAGGCCATTTTCATCTCTAAATTGTTGCTGCATTTACTCTGTTCAGAGTTCAGGCTCCATAGGTTTTGCATTAACTTCGTTGGTAAGCAAACAAATTCTTGAAGTCTATGCATGTTATCTTTTAGGAAGCATATAATGATATTAAAATTGTACTCCCTTAATATTAGTTGAAGATTCATCTAAATGGATTTTGTAAGTTACTAAACATATATCAAACCAAACAATGTAAAGTATTAAAATTGCTGGAAAATTATGAAGCATGGTTTCAAATTTGAGACTTAGTGACCTGTTACAGAGAAACTTTGAAAATATAGAAAATTGAAACCTAAAACATGCGCAAGAACGAAGCTTCTAAGTAGAAGCTGGCAGATGTAAAATTCTAGAAATAGAAAGATATGTCATAAAACGAAAAAAGGATCAGGGATGTTTAAAAATGGTCCTTGAATCATGAAAATAGGCCATGCATAAGTTTCACAAATTTATCTCCAAGTTACGCCTTCTAGATGCCAGTACTAAATCTGACAAAGGGGAGGTAGTGGGATTGTTAGCTTTATGGCTCTACTTGGTAAAGAAAATAGTTTAAGTGCAGATCATGTGCAAAAAACATTCAAGAAAAATAATAGTCACTTGTGAATAATTCCTGAACAATACAAGGTGCTAGCATGAAATCTATATACCATTCATTATATATAATAATATTAATTTGAAATTTAATATTTAATCTATGCAAATCCTTAACAATCAATACAACAATATCAGAGAATAAATGCTTTTAGAATACAATAACAAGTGTCTAATGGTAAAATCATGAAATGAGATGAATCAATAAAAGATTTAGATTCAAACTATTTTATTTGCTTTATGTCTTCGGATTCAATTTCTATTTTATATTCAAATTTATCTTTATGAATGTATGATAGACCACATATTATACTCTAATTTATTGTTCTCTGCTCATGTTCATATCATCTTAAAAGTAGTCTCTTTATTCTAAATTTTTCCAGTACTTGGAATTCGAAGATCATTATACTCTTGCATATGAGACATAATTTCTGAGGCCTTAGCAGGCTATCTAACCTTGACGCCTATCGTTTCCACTTTCATTATTTTGTGCTAGTGGCTCGATCATTTTTAGTGTTAGGATTTATGGAGGCGTAGTGGTAGATCAAACAGGGTATGAACAATAACTTAATTGATAGACTGAGATGGACATCTCCTAGTGGTGACTGGTGAGAGATTGATTGACATTGCTTCTAAAGAAAGATGCAACTGCCTTTGCACTTTTAAGATGTTCATAATGAGCTTCATTTGTAGTCCCTGGTTCAAAGAGTTGTACTTCCTTGATTTTAAAATGAAGCCCATTCACAAATATAGATACTACTGTCCATATTTCTTCTTGTAAATCTCACTTAAAATTGAATTCTTTAAACTTGTTTAAATCTTTGCTAATAGTAAATTTGTCTTGCCTTAGATTTATTATTTGTTTAAATATTCTAGGAAATAGATTGGTAAGCATTTGTCTCTATATATTGCTTTCCTCCCAGTTTATATTTTAGCATGGCAATCGACAAAATTGCATATATCAGATTGGACTTTTGGCAACCCCTACCAATTTATTCATGTCATATTTGATGCATGTTTTAGCTCTAATGGAATGTCAAGTAAAAAGGTTCTCAAGTTCAGATATGAAATCTAGAAAAACTTCCTGGTCATGTATACTTTTTGAGGTGGGAGCCTTGACCTCAACTTTTTAATCACTTTTATTCATGATGAAGTCAATGATGCATGCTGTTAAAAATCTCAATCGTACCTTGATATTTGATCCCACGGCCAAGATGGGACTCCGTGGGATGCTCACCTAGTTCACACCAATCTCTATTAAATCCTAGCCATCCCTTGACACTTGATCGCACGGCAAGGATAGGAATTCGTGGGAGGCTCACCTGGATCACGCCGATTTCCTTCCATATTTGGGTGGCTAATTTAGGAATGATTATATTAAGGCAATTATGCATGATTCTGTAGTTATTTATTTTTTTATTAAGACATCTTGTATAGATCAATAAATAGGTATAATTTTATGTAATAAATTAAGCTTTTCCTTCTCCAATTCTTTGAATTTAACATGGTATCAGAGATTTCATTGCCTTGACTAGAATTCTGAGTTTTTACTGTTGGGCTTTTAGAAGAAAAGGCCTGACCTTCCCATCAGAAATGAAAGGGATTGTATTTTGGCTTATTAATTTCTATGTATGTCCAACCAAGAGGGGAAGACTGCTTCATCTTGCGGTCTCTTTGTTTGATTACGTGAGACAAACATCTAGTGCTTCTCGTTTGGAGGAGTCGAGAGAGAGCCTCGTGGTCTCTACATTCAATCAAGAGAGACGAGCATCTAATAAACCCCTCTCGCATGCATGCAACCAAACGAGATGAGAGAGGCGTGTGACAGAAAGGTTCTATGTGTGTGTCTGGGAGCTGATTGAGAAGGATTGCGCTCACCACTTGTGTGGTTAAGGACAAGCTGGTGTATGCATTCTAATTCTTACTCACGTACGTCCAGAGCAAACGAGCAAGTGAGAAGGCTTCCCCTTTCGGTCTTCTGCGTGCGGCTAGACCCCTCTTGTGTGTGCCTACCTAGTGGCCGAACCGAGTGAAGAAGAGGATCAAGAGAGGGAGAGAGCAGGGATTGCATGTGTGTGTGCCTTGGCTAGGATGACCAGCCCTCATGCTTGTGCTGGAGCCTAATCGAGCAAGGAACAAACAGTTGAGAGTTGTTGTGCATGCGATCTAGCCAAGCCAAACAGAACTGGGAGCCTCTTGAGCACATGTTTGCTCTTGATTTTATGGATTTGGAAGGATAATTAATTAGCTTTCCTGTTGTCCCACCACCAGCCTTTATTGTCGGAATTCTGAGGAATGCAGGTTCCCACCACCGGCCTTAATTGCCGGAATTATGAGGAATACAAGTTCCCACCACCGGCTTTCATTGTCGAAATTTTGAGGAATATAGGTTCTCACCACCGACCTTCATTGCTGGAATTTTAAGGAATACAAAATTCTTACCACTGGCCTTCATTGCTATAATTATGAGGAATACAGATTCCCACCACCGACCTTCATTGTCGGAATTCTGGAATATTGATCCTTCTACTTCTTTTGTGCGTCCAAGACCGAGAAGAGATCGAGCGGAAGGGCTCTTCTTGAGTATGTTTGGAAAGAGCCGAGGGTTCTCTCTCGTGTGGGTTTAGGGCCGGGACAAGCAATAGCGCAAGACCTACCCTCCTTCCTCAGATCAGACTAGAAGGATCAGAGGCACGATCGAACAAGGGTTTTCAGTTGGAGTCAGATGACATTCCTTGGGCTGAAGGCTGGCTCGATCGGACGGTAGGAGATTGCGCGGTAAGTACTAAGCTACTTGAGACGTGTTTTTCTGCTGCTGTTCTTGAAGCGTGCCACAACCCTAAAAATAGTTTTTTTTTCCTACTGTTGTGCCTTCATTGCCAGCCTTCTCTTGTGGTTGTTATTCCATCTAAAACCAATGCAGCCTTCATTGCTGCCCTGCTTAATATAGCCTTCATCACTATCATTTGTCGCTGTCGGGATGTCTGAAGCTAATTTCTCCCAAAGTTTTTGACCAAATGGAGTATGGTGCACCAAGGGACTTGATAACTCTACTTTTCGGAACTAATTACTCTGTGGAAATAACAAACATGTATTCCTCAACTTGATGGTGAGTGTTATAAATCTCAACCATCCCTTGACATTTGATCCCATAGTTAGGATGGGAATACTTGAGAGGCTCACCTGGATCATGCCAATCTCTGTTAAATCATAGTTGTCCCTTAACACTTGATCTCATGGCCAAGATAGGAATCTATGGGAGGCTTACCTGGATTACGCCGATCTCCTTCCATATTTTGGTGGTTGGTTTAGGAAGGATTTTATTAAGGCAATTATACATGATTCTATAGTTATTTGTTTTTTTATTAAGACATCTTGTATAGATCTATAAATAGGGATAGTTTTTATGTAATAAAATTAAGCTTTTCATTCTCCAATTCTCCGAATTTAACATATTCCTCTAAAGCTCATTTATAGTGCATATAGTGTTGATTGTCTCAATTATCACTAGAGTGGTAATCTTCAAGATCATAAAGTTTTTTATATAACACACAACAAAAAAACAAAAACAATATAAAGTCTTTATCCCACTATGTGGGGTCGGCTACATGAATAATTTTTCTCCATTTTATCTTATTAAGAGTCAAATTCTCATTTAAATCTAATAAAGACATGCCATTTCTAATACTTTCTAACAAAGTCTTTTAAGTCTACCTACCTCTACCTTTCTTAACATAAGTCAGATCTAATACTTATACTCCCTAATCGAGTCATTAGAATGTCGATGTTTTATGTGACCATACCATCTAAGGCGACTCTTAAATCTTATCTGCCACTAGTGCTATTCTAACCCTTTCACATATATACTCGTTTTGCATTCTATCTCTAATATATATATATATATATATATATATATATATTATGATTCTAGTACTCCTTAGAATTCATATTGTCTCTATAGTTCACGATTTGCTTAGCTTGAGGATATACATCTAGACCTATTCTGAGGATTTTTTTTGCAGTTTGTGGAGGTTCCTATGATTCATGTGAATGTATACCCTAATTGGTGCATCCTCAGACACATTTTCTAATAAATCATTGAAGTGTTAAGTGAAGGTGATTTATGATGAGATAGATTACTTATTTTGTCATAAGGAAAGGAAGGAACACTATAAGAGTCTCCTTCATTAAAATTTTGAAGTTTATTTATTTTAGGTAGTTTGTCTTTGCTTGGCCGCATATCACATTTAACTTACTTTTATTTGATCATATTTATCTTTTAAGTTTTTTAGATTTCTTTTTGCATAGAGTCATCTTGATATCCACATTATTCATCGTTAAATTATTGCACATGTTTATGCAGTCTTTTATATTTTCTTCTTGATACAATTGGTATTCTTTGTGAATGATGGTGCAAAACTTGCACAAATTCTATAGAAATATAGCCAACATGACCCCTATTTGTTGAATCCTTAAAGCATATTTGAAAGAAAAAGAAACCAAATAACAAATTGTATGTTCTATATGTTGAATCATTAAAGCATATTTGAATCCTCAAAGCAAATTGTGCTACTTCTTCAAAGAATGTAAGAAATCTATGAAGTCAAGATATGATCTGCAGGCAATTTGCATTCAACTCATCATGAGGAGGTTCTTACAAATTATAAAGGATTATTTATCGAAATGGACCGCAATTAAATGTCTAACCTACATCTAGGGCTTATTATATGATAATCCTTGTGAATTTAATAAAGCACATAATTAAATTGCCAATTCCTAATAAATATAAAATTCAAATTCACAAATAATGTTAATCGTGATCTTTAATGATTGCATGACAGATAACGTTAGAATCTCTTCCACATAACACTACAAAGTCCTCCATTGGAAGATTGTAAATTTGGCTAGTGTTTTACTTTTTAACTGATCATGATTTCACTAACTTTCATGTGATTTACATATCGCTTGTCTTTTTCAGTTGGTTTTTCTTTTTTGTCTTCTATTAATTGTAATATTTGTCCATTGTAATGTTTCGTTGTTTTGCTATCAGATATTTTTGCTTCCAGGGGAAATTAGGTCCTCAAGTCAACCCCATAAGAGTTAGATCTAGATTGACTGGCTTTTTTTTGTGCATTTTGCGCACCAGATTATTGTTCTTGAAGACACAGAGGAATACATTAGTTATGCTTCTAAGAATGAAACTGAAGCACAAGACCGGCGACCTTTTGATCTGCTGGTACTTAGTTACATTTAAACGTTTATTTAAAACAGATTCCTTCTCACCTTGAGCATTTGTGCTTCCTTAGATTCTTCAACTATTATATTTGTGAGACAGGTAATAATTAATCCAAAGCTTGAGAAGAAGGGAAGCAAAACAGCTTTGTTTTTTGAAGGATGTTTGAGGTATGAAACAAGTGTCTGCTAAGGTTATCATTTTAATTACCATTTGATAGTGAGAGGTTTCAATCTTTCAGTCACATTTTAAAATAGTGAATTAGACCTATATATTTTAGATATGATCGAGAATAGTTAAGAGATCTATTGTGCACAATTGCTGTCATTTTGCATGCAATATTAAATAAAAAGAAACACATTTTGCCTTCAAATATTTTTTGTGCTTGTATAATAGATGTTTCCTAGTCAACATTTGGTTTCTTGGGATGTGACTCATGCACATTTGATATGAATATAGTGTTTGTTGATGCAATAATACTATTAGACTTCTCCCTTTGTGGAAGACCACCTGCATGAATGTTACTAATGTTAAATTGAGAATGCCATTAATTTATATAATTGAAATTTAGAGCAAGAACATCAAGTTAAGGATTTGAACTGGAACACTAGGAATAGATTCCATTAAGCATGTTTAATGGGATCTTGTATCTGTAGGATACTTTTTCCTTGATATAGATACCATATCAAATATCCTACTTGGTATATCTTGTTATCACTGTTGTAAACCCAAATAACTTAGGATCTTTCCAAATGAATGAAACTAAGCGTTTGGATCATGTAAAAGAATTTGATGTTTCATTGTTGCAAATACGCACTCGTAGACTGCTTATATGAAAAATTTAGATTCAAAATTAATTTGCCTACAATTAGACACAACACACAATATAGTGAAATCTAGATTTAAGTAATTAAACAATTATATTAATTATTTAGTTACAAATGATAAAAAAACAGCTAGCTAATCAATTATTTCTAATTAAATAGAAATCGCTTTTCACTTTACTATGCACAATTTAAATGACTAACAGGTTATTGCTTCTAATTAAAACTATTCTTTAGCCTTGATAAACAATATCAATAGTATTTGATATTACAACATAAATTCACTTGCAAAATATACTAATAGCAAATTGCTTTCACCAAAATTAGCAAACAAACACAAAAAATATGCATAAAAATATAAAACAGCCAGAAGAAATGAACAAGAGCAATTTATGTAATTCTGCACATTTGTATCTACATCCACAGGGAGAGAGGACTTTTGTTTTTATTAACTTGCACAATCAATTTACTAGACTAAACAAGATAAAAACTAGGTTAATCATTAAAGGAAATATAAATTTCTTCAAGAAATTAGTAAGGTAAGATTTTACCTGATTAAATCTTGTCAAAACAAAGAAGTAGATGTTCTCAAATCTATCTCCTTAATCTCTGTTCTTTCTTTCCTGAATAGTCGACCAAAATGAAGCCCTAAACTTCAATTTACCTTCCTAAGACTAAGCTACATAAGCAAGCAAGAAGGTTTAGCAATACAAGTGGCTATAGACTAAGCTAAACAAGCAAGCAAGAAGGGTTAGCAATCAACAAACAATATTAAGAAAATAAATTGCTTGTGCAAATTAACCAACTTAATTACAACTAATATTTGATTCAAATTTAATTAATAAGTTAATAAACCATCTCCACCTTGAATCAATTATTAAATAAGCTATGTAATCTCTTTCTTTTAAAGCCTCCTTAATAGGCAGGCCTACCTACTTGAAGCAAAACTAGGAAGTGTTTGAATTTAGTTCTAGACACTACCTTGGTTAGCATATCAGTTGGATTCTCATATGTATGGATTTTTTGAACCTTCACAGTGCCTTGAGCCAGAACATCTCTGATTAAATTTAATCTAATATTAATGTGCTTTGTCCTTTTATAAAATACCTTATTTTTCATCAGCTGAATTGAACTCTATCACACAAAATAACTGATTTCATTTCCATATTCTCAAGCTCCTCAAGAGACCCTTTCATCCAGATACCTTCCTTTATTGTCTCAGTAGCAACAATATATTCTATCTTTGTGGTTGATAAAAACCACAATTAACTGAAGATTAGATTTCCAGCTAATTGTTTTACCGTAGACTTGAAATGACATACCATTTCAAAGACTTACGTTTGTCTAGATCTCTTACATAATCAGAATCCACAAAACCGAAAATCTACTCTCTGCCCCAGTTTTCGTTTCTATAACTCAACCCAACATCAATTAATTTTTTGAGATATCTAAAGATCCATTTAATATCCCTCCAGTGTTCTTTCCCCAGATTAGCCACGAATCTACAAACCATATTCATGGCATATGCTATATCTGTTTTGGTGCAAACCAATAGAGCTTTTTAGACTGCCAATTGCACTTATATACGGAACTGATTGGTGATTGTGACACATAAAGTATTAAGTGTGAACCCAACGGAGATGAAATTGATTTTGTTATTTCTATTCTAAATTTTCTTAGAACTTTTCAAATAAATATTTTGTTGAGACAAATGCAATAAGCATTTATTTCTTTCTCTTATTATATCTATCCCAATTGGCATAATTCAAATCTGTCATCTAAAAATGGTTATTTAGTATTTTTTTAACTGGTCTATCTCTGCATCACTGTCACTAGCTATAAGCATATCATCAATATATAGAAGAAAATATATCACATTGTTCTTTGAGAACCTTTTGTTATAAACACACATATCATGAATGAATCAAACTTCTTATAACATTGTCACGGAGACTAATTTAACCCATACAAAGATTTTTTGAGAAGATAAACTTTATTTTCCTAACCAACTTTGACAAATCTTTTGGTTCATTCATATAAATGACTTATTCAAGTTCTCCACATAGAAAAGTTATTTTAACATCCATCTGTTCAAGCTCAATCATATCTGACAGCCAATGACAAAATTACTATGATTGAAGTATGTTTGACAATTGGTGAGAAAATCTCATTAAAATATATTCTGTCTTTTTGAGTGAATTCTTTTGCCAATAACCTTGCCTACTCAACATCTGTAATACCATCTTTTCTTCTGTATATTCATTTGCAACCCATGAACTACTTTTTAGGTTGTTTATTCACAAGTTCTCAAGTACAATTTTTCTCTAGTGATTTCATTTCTTCATGCAGAGCTTGTTTCCAGAAACCCTTTTCATCATTGTTCATTGCTTCCTTGTACAATCTCAGTTTATCATCCAATAAATTTTGATCAGTTGTTTAGAGCATATGCAGTTAAATTAGCATAACCTAAACATTTCGGTACTCTTATGTTCCTCCTTGTTCGATCTCTAGCTAGACTGTAATTTTCCAAACTATTTTGATCTTGTTTAGTAGCAACCTCTTCCTAATGATTCTAACCACTGACATCTGTTGGCATCAATTCCACATGCAACTTATTTCTATCACTGGTCTCTTGCAATTTTACCACATCATTAGTGCCCTCAATGATTTCCTTTTTGCTTTCAGTAATCTAACCAATCATTACTTCTTGCTCATTGAAGATGACGTCTATGACGTCTATACTAGTGATACATATGGATTCATCTGTAAGCCAACATCTATACCTTTTTGTCTCTCTGGATATCCTAAGAATATACAATTTTTTGGATGTTGGTTCTAACTTTCTCTATTTCGTATGAATATACCTGACATCCAAATATTCTTTTAGATTGTTGTAGTCTGCTTTTTTTCCTATCCAGACATCTTCAGAAGTTTCAAGTTCAAGAGTTGTAGACGAACTTCTATTCACCAATTAGCAAACAATATTAATTTCTTCTCCCCATAAACGCTTATCTATTTTTGCAAATGATAACATACATATGACCTTTTCCAGCAAAAATCTTGTTCATCCTCTTAACAATACTATTCTATTGTGGAGTCATTCTTATAGTCTTATGTCAGACAGTTTCATTGTCCTTGTAGAATTCAGTAAACTCACTATTACTAAAAAATAAACTCTAAATGAAGCGCTTGTTCAGCAATTTTGAAGAATTTTTCACTTGCATGTCACGTCAACAGAAAAACTGCGTGAGGAACCACGTAGAAACAAAACAATCAACAAAAGGAGTAAATCCTTGTATCATGAACATAAATCAAAATAGAATTTGGTAGATACCGAGAAGTTGGAAGGAGGGAATTGAATAGATAAAGTGAAGAAAGAATATTATGGTGAGAGGTCGAGAGCTGCCTCCGTGTCGTCTGCATGATGCTGTCTGTGTATCCTCCTTTGTCCATGTGAGGCAGCATCTATGGGCAAGAATCATATAGATTAGCATTAACCGTGTGGAATTGCTGTGTACTTTCAATTGATAAATCATCTGTGGTCTGCATGTTGCGGTGATTTAGAGGATCTGAGGAGAAGCCAAGCGAAGCATCGTGACTACCAACCAAACTGTTTATGATTTGGACTCAATTGCTCATAAGTTGTGAGCGTGAAACATGTTTGCAATTTAGGAACTTTTATTTTATCCAGTGAACGTACGCTCCTCTACGTTCGGTTTTAGACCAAAACAGCGCAATACCGAGTATCGAGTACCGAGTTGTACCGAGTTTTTTCAAAAAACTCGGTATTGCGCTGTTTTGGTCTTAAACCGAATGTAGAGGAGCGTACGTTCACTGGATGTAATAAAAGTTCGCAATTTAGAGCCCTGCATTGGGTACCCATACCCACACCCACCCACATACCCACCAATACCCAATGGGCATGGGTGGGTATGGGTACGCCCATGGCATTGTGGATGGGTATGAGTGGGTATTGGGTACTTAACATCAGGGGACAAACCGATTTACATTACTAATCACCATATGCATGCAGTATATTACAATAATCCTTACTACGCAGTGCACAATATTGAACCACGCCGCGACCACGATAAATTTTGATATGTGGCTTGAAAGTTTGCAGTCACAGAAAAGGGAAACAAACCTCGAGGCCATTAATCCGTGGAAAACTGCATTTAAGAAGCATGAAAAGTGGGTGGATGTGGGTGGGTATGACATTTTGAAAGTTACCATAAATGGGCGTGGGTTGGCAAAGCCCGCCAGCGTAGAGCGTGGGTACCCAACCAGGACCCCATGTAGGGCTTTGAACTTTGCATTGAAGAACGGAACACACGAAACATTTCACC